CGCCCGCGCCGCCCGCGCCCGTGCTCGCCCGCCCGGGGACGCCAGCCCGCGGCTCTGGGCGTCGCTGCGCGCCTCAGCTCGGCGCGCCCCGTCACCAGTAAGAGGGGCGCGCCTGGAGCGCGTGCCCGGTGTGGCGGGGCCTCGCACTGGCCCGGGACTGGCGAGGGAGGCGAGCAGAGGGGACGCCGCGCCCCAGCCGTGCCTCTGGATGGCGACAGAGACGGCCCAGCGTACCCACAGCCTGGGCCCAGGGAGCGCAGCTGGAAGTTAGTGGACTTGGGACGTCCCTTCCCCAGAGTCTTCCACCAAAGGCCTGTGACGCTGGGGTCCCAGACCTTGTTTATTGTGGGTCCAAAAAGTGAACCCAGAGTTTATTGCAAGTAAAGAATGCCTGTTCCCCGCAAGTGCCCACCATCAGGGCTAGAGAGTGTGCCTTGGTGTTCTGGGCCCAGCAGGGAGCATTTGGGTGCAACTTGACCTGCTCTGTCCCCAGAACTTGCTGTCCTGTGGACTGAATCTACCCTAGGAAGGCATATACCCAGAAATACTTCCTTGTTCCCAGAGTGCTCTTCGGCCCCTGCCCAGGCCCTGGTCGGTCGTGTCCGCTCTCCTCATCCACCTTCCAGAGTGTACTCAGGGTGAAGTCACCAGGCTGATTTTCTGAGGAGGGTGGCGATCACCCAGCTCCTCTGACGTGCGTCCCTGCCATTCTAGAACAGGTTTGCTCCTGTAAACAAGCTGAGCTGGGTCCCTTTTTTACTTTCTCTAGTAATTTCCTTACAGCCCAGGAGGTAACTCCCAAAGCTGGGTGTTTCCCCAGGTGGCCCTGCAGGTCTCCCCTTCCCTTCCTATGCATCGGTAAACAGGCTAACAGAAGCCTCCGCTAGGGTGGTCGCTGGTGCATGTACTGTGTGGGAGAGGGTGGTACATCCACACAAAGTCTGGTTGGAAATGGAGACCTTTCCCCACAAGTCACTAGGTGATCACCAGCGTGAGCCTTTCACCTTGTGTCCTGGTCCAGTGTGGCGCGTTTAAAGGGCCGACGAAGTAGAGAAGGCTGCTGAGGGGCTGAGGGAGGGCAGGTACCCAGGTTGCGTACATTGGCCGCTACTTAGGCGTGCCACACGCACACCACATAGCTGCATGAAGATACTCCACAAACCAATACTCCACATGCATACATGCATGCCATGAGCCTGTCTGCACGCAACCCCCATGTATACATATTCACACATGCATATCACATGACCACGTGAACACACTCGCCCACATAGGTACATGCACAAGGCACCGACATCCATGTGCCACACATACCTCCACGTATATGTGCACATACACACAGGCACACACATAAAGGCTATATGCATCACACGTGTGCAAACATGCACATATGCACTCATTTATACTATGTGACCACACTCCACACACATGCATATGCAAACATACGTATCACATGGCTATACCCCACATGAATGCACGTGAACACGTAGACACATGTACGCACATCATGTACACATGCAGACATGCACACCATAAGGCCGCCTACACACAAATGTACAGAATGCACATGTACTTCCTTTCACAAGCATCTACACGCCCAAAGTGAAACTGAGGCACACTTCAGACTTCCTAACTCCTGGCAGTATTTTCTCTGTAATATGATCATGTTCACCAAGGGCGTTTCCCACTAACTTCTGATTTCCAATGTCAGCTTAATTAAGGCCAAGGTTTTCCAGGTACCATCTTCTCCAGGACAGCCCAGCTCACTTTCCTGTAAGGACCCCAGTCTGCAGAAACAAGGCCTCCTGACATTGCCATGTGGGCAGGGTGGCAGCCCCTCTTGTCCTGAATATTCCAGAGAGACATTTCTGCCCCTGGCCTCAGCTGGGTTCTCCAAAGCTGACCATGGCTGTCTGAATCTGCCTTCATACTCTTTCCTTAGATCTAAGCCTTTTAACCTGCAAAGGGGACAAAGCGCTAACCCTGTACACTCTCCTCTTCATCCTGTCCTCCCTGAAATCCTGCTCAGAGATAGGCAATCCTGAACACAACTTGCATCTGTTGGCTATCTGCCACATGTCAGGCGTGTGGGGCCCGAAAGACAGTGATACTTACATTTCCTCTCCCTGAGAAGTTTAGGTTTGGGAAACAGACTAGGAGGGTCTTGTCTCACCAAGATAGGTATCATAGTAAGAAAGATCCAAGGGTACTGTTGTAACTTTTGGGGGTTACAGGCAGTTGTGAGCCACCACGTGGGATCTGGGACCCAACCCAGGCTCTCTGGAAGAGCAACAAGAGCTCTTAATCACTGAGTCGTCTCTAAATCCCCCAGTGGCAATGTTTAATACAAGGTTGAATTCTGGGGTACTATAAGGAATATGCTAGAAGAGCTTCCATGAGATATGTTAACAGACAGATTTGGTGTCATCCTTACTGCATATAACATGTAGACACACACAGGCACAGACACACACACAGATACAGATATACATACACAGTCACATACACACACATAGACACACACAGACAGACACACACAGACAAATAAACACACAACACACACACCTCTACCTGAAAGGAAAGCACAGCATTTACCCACTTACTCTGCCTGGTATTTTCTATTCTGTTCTAATTTGTTTCTTTAAAAAATGGTTGATTGCCAACCCAATAATGCTGTTACAATAATAGTCTATGTTTGAAGGGCCCTTTTGCAGGACAGATGTAATCTTCTTTGAATTGTGAGGGGTAAATTGGAACTTCTCTGTCCCAAGGAGAAGGGCTGGTGACAGTGATCAGGGCCAAGGCACACTGAAGCGCGCAACCTGCTCCGTTTACACTCCAGCCTTGAGAATTTTGTGGCGGTAATGCTGAGAAAAAAGTTCCAGATAGTGGAGTACGATTCATGTCAAGTGCTGAAGATTCCTGCAGAAAAGAAGCCACACACACAGAGAACAGAGCCACTGTTGCTTGAGTCTCGGGATCCAGACTGGAAATGAATTCGTAAGACACTGAGGCTACAGAAGTTCAGTCTTCCACCTCAGGCTGCATGGTAGCAGGAGCTGTGGAAGGGGTAAAAGAGATTAAAACTCTATAAATGGAGCTGGATAGCACCCATGACCTAGAGATTAATGTGCAACCTTAGAAGACGTATGGCAGGTGCCTGTCCCAGCATGCTCCATCCAGGTCTTGTTTCCAGAGCCTGATAAGAAACACCGGATGGATTTGAGGATGGGGCGATGAGCAGAGCGCTGAATTCTGTTGCTAGGAGACAGAGGCTCGGTTCTAGATCCCAACATGTGCTACCAATTGACAATTTTCTGTTGTTATTATTGAAGGGCTGCCTTTGATCACCAGCCAGAATTAGCAGGACTTCAAAATGTGGAGGCTGTGTAAGTTTAGTAGAGAATCACACCAGTACCTTAACGCTAAGCCTAAAACACAAGCAGAGGCGACTGTTTAAGCAGAGGAGAGTCTCGGGTCTCACAGAATGCCAGTCCATAGTCACTGAGCTCCAAGGGACCTGGCCACTCTAGGAGCATCCAGCCTGCGGGATGATGGTCCCACATCAGTCACAGACTGTAACAGATAGGGTAGATTCCTAGGAGGGGGACACTGGGTAGAGAGCTTGCTTGGGACATGCGTTCTACATCCCTGTGGCAAAACTCGGCACCTCAAGGTGTGCTGTCAGTATTTCCCACTGTGCCAGATTGAGCCACAGGATGTCAAGGCTTTCCCATCATCTCCATCTTCCGCAGTGGCACATTTGCTGTTTCATCCAAGGTGCCTGACTGACAACGAACACCCAGAGACCCTGAATTTTGATCTTTGCGTGTTGACATGAAGCACGAGGCAGTCCCCATGGAGACAGTGGAGAGGGAAGCTGACTTCAAAAAGAGACAACCCTGTTTTTTTAGGGAATCTTTATGGATCATGAGAAGGCAAGATACTCAAGGGACATGTTGTGTCTTGGGCAATAGCAACAAGCTTGTGTTCTACACAGGCCCCCTCATCTCTGGGCGCCTCTGCTATGTCCATTTACAGAGAATGAGAATTCCTCTATTTGTCAAGATGGGACCTGGAGGAACGGCCAGAAAACTGATTGAGAAGGTGCACAGATCCAAATGGGAAGGCTCTGCTTGCTCTCACACCTGTGAGATTAGAAGACAAGAGTGAGCTCAACAGCTTCCCAAGGATGTAGCCATGACTGAAATGTCCTCTGTGACCCCAAGCTTCTGGCTACAGAGGCTCTAAATTTGGTCTTCATGTTTGTTGGGACAGTTTCTGGCCAGCTGCAAGGGAATGACCTCAAACAAGAGGAGACCACCTTGCAATGAGACAAAAAGAGAGCACAGCACAGAGGAGAGGTACCAGCAAGGCAAGAAACAAGGCAAGGAGCCCACAGAAGACTTCAAGCCTCATGAGGGCTCCCAGCCATCAGGCTTGAGCACATAAACTGCCTTCAGAGAGTCACTAGTGGAGGCAAGCCATCACTTTAAACAGTAATTACCAGTCATGTGGGCACCATTCCTAGTGTAGGAAGTAGGGTTTTAATATTCATTCTGTGTGCAG